CAAAGTGGTCCGTCTGCGTCGGCGTCGTCGGGAGTTTCAACATCGACGCCTGGTCTCGAATTTTCACAAGTTCCAAACGCGTGTCACCGCACCCCCCCCCCCCCCCAAACCCTCTCACCCGACCCCACCAAACAAAAAATACGCACTTTCTTCTCGGATTTTTCTTTTACGGTTTGTCGCGGGAAAATAGAAACAGGCGGCATTATGCCAGAGACAGAGAGGAGGAAACTTTTTTACGAGCCCGTCGCATTCAGCCTGTCCGCGCCATATATTCATTAGAGCTCGCGGAATACACTTCTGAAAATAAATACGCGTACCAGCGGGGCCCCGGTTGAAATTAGTTTTCTTTGGTCTTCCGTCGTCTCCCCTTTTGGTGCAGTAAGATGAAACTTTGCACAAAGGACGAACTCAAATATCGCGTTTAATTAGGGAACGTGTAACGCAAACGGGGGACAACAGCCGAGCGCCAGCGAGCAAATTGAACTGCGCGGAAAGACTCGCGTTCAGAATTTTTTCTCAAACGCCAAGCGAATCGTGCCAATTATATGTATTTTAAGAAAAAATCCTTCCCAGAGAGAAATTTTCTCCTCGGAGAAATATAGACCGCGATCCGATCGTTGATTACTCTTGTTTAATGTTGTACAGTAACTATCCCTTTTCCACTCTTGCTGTTATTAATGAATAAAAAGAAAAAGGATACGGTACAATTTCTCTTAGCAGTACTGTTCTCCATTCGTTCGAATTGCAGAATCGTCGAGGTAGCCTGCTCTAAATAAATAAATTGCAACTAATTCCAACGAAAGAACAAGTGAATCGAGATGCGAATTTGCTACGACGCGCACGAGACGAGACGAGATTTCTACGATCTCGATCTTGATCTCGAAAAATCTCCAAACATAACAACTACCAAAAACAATTTGCGAAACATTTATATTACAGAAAAGTCATATTCTCGGTCATTGTTTAAATAATAAGTATCGTTAATGATTAACGTAACTATTGTCAGATATTAATATTTGGTAGGTCCAATCGATAGATATTAAAATATTGACAAATTTCTCACGATTAATGTCTCGAATGAATCCCGCTAAATCGCTGAAATATCACACTGTGCGTCCTTTTTTTATTCGCTGTCCTTCTCTACCTTCATCTCATTCCTCCGCCACTTTTCAAGCTGTGTAACGGGACGTATTTATTCTGTTACTACCCGCCCATTTCATCGCCTCATAGCATTTTTCACCATACAACGGGACATAAATTTCGGCTGTTCGAAAATAAAAAGATTTTCAATCTTAGAAAAAAAGTGTAGAAATGCTCGATAGTCGACTGTTCGTATCTACGTCTGTCCATGAACAGAGTATAAATTTTATCGACCGTGAAACGAGGATGCGTGAATTATTCATTCGCGAGGTGTGTTAACGTAATCCAATGTCCGGGGTATCCACGCGCACAAGGATCGATCCTTGGTTAATCCTGGAATATCCTGAAACCAGCCGCGACGTTACGACTGGCCCAGATTTCACGAGAACTTTCGAAATAGCGTAGCCAACAAGTACGAACCGGGAACGGGGTGAAATTTATGAATCGTTAAAACGACGTTAGCGAAGAGACGGCGCGGCGGATCGAATGTACACGTTCTTCGCGTAGTCGTCCGCCCCCGAACGCGTACGAGTAAACGTGTGCTTGCGTCATCGCGTCGCGTCGGGTCGCCAAATAGGATTAAAGGGATCGGATTAGGAGACGTTAAATATTGTGCAGACTAGTCTGTGTTCAGTTTTAACGATGGAAAAGCTGCTCGCTGATATTTGTACGCATCGAATAACGCAAGCGATTCGATTAATTCGCGTTAACGGCATGGCAAAAATGATCGAAAAATTTGTTCAACGATTCGCAGATCGGATATTCAAAACTAACAAAGATTGAAAGTATCATCCTACTATGGCAGATAAACGATTTTTCTTTCTTGGAATTTTCGATATTCTCGAACAGGTTCAGCGGCGATCGTTGCTGAGCTGCCAGGTGTCTCGCGGAAAGTGACGTATTTTATTAAATAACGAAGCCACGTCCCCGTGGTCCATGTCCAACCGTGGTCGCGTTTTTTTCTTTTTCTTTTTCTTTTTCTTTTTCATTTTTCGCTGCGGATGTGGACGAATTGAAAAAAAGCTGTGCCAGCGAAACGATATAACCGATTCCGTCGTCGATCCACAGTCTTCCGCTGCTGCTGACTCTGCAGCGTTGGCTAACGCTGTTCTATAATAGAAACAGATACTTGTGCTTCGAGAATATGTTAAAACAAACTGGTAGTAACAAACTGCCGGGCTTTGACGTTAATTAATGCGACAATTTCAACGCTATTACTTCGCTCGGTGCGACAACTGTTATTATCGCTTTCTATTTACTCGCTGGAAATATTAACGTGGAACAAGTACGTAATTTACAAGGAGTACGCATTTGCGAAACTTGTTGGCATACGGCGCTGAAATTGCGCCTCGGTATTACGTATTACAACCCTTTGAAGCTCGATTATCTTCCACGTAATTTCCATCAGTCAGCCGCTCGGTCTCCCTCGACTCCTCGGAGAATTACGATTAACTCGAATATCGAGCCCAGCCGTAACTCGATCGGAGAAGTTCCCGTCGAATCGTCTTAACTAACATCTCTGCCGGGACACGCGTCCGCTATAACTCAATGTACATTCGCGATTGCACGGATAAGCCGTGGTCGCCCACAGGAAATTTCATACGGTTCGTTACAGATATTTCCGATTTAAACAAGTAAATCAATATTAACGCGATGCATCGATTTATTTTTCCATCAGTCGTTTACAAAAGTGGAATCGTTGTAATGAGAATAATTATTATTATTATGATTACTATTGCTCAATTTACGATTTATCGTAGTTAACCTTTATCTTAAAATTGTTATTAGAGCGCGAAACACTTGAGAAATTTACTCTATCGCGTCTGTGACATCGAACAACATCTCTAACGATACATGTAGCTACTTAGCTTTTACCACGGAAAAGGTTCTCGCCCGATCAATCGAATCCTTTCGTTTGTTTTCCTTCGTTTGCATTTCGTGTCGAAACACACACACACACACACACACACACAGACAGACACAGAGGAAGAGAGTCAACTAGAATCCACCTCCAAAGAACTTTTCCACGAAGGGAGCACAGTTTTCGCAGTCAGACAACTTAACGAGAAACCTTCCAGGGACCGTCTCAATTTAAATTACAGGACAGCCTCCATTTTGACGCTTCCGAAGAAACAAACCAACGACTTTTCCTTCCACCGTTCGCCCTCGAACTTGTTAAAACAGCTCAAAATCTCGAGCACTTTTCCAGCCTTACGGCGAGAAAACTTATAATTTTTCCAACTTTGTCCAACTTGTTTAATAACACTCGGAAAAATTCTTGTCCTTTGGTTAATAAATCGTGCGACAAGAAACTCGAGAAATTTTAGCGGCCCGACTTTTATTATGATCTTGAGATCGCTTCTACGAGAAATCGATAACACGTGAAACGATGTAGAGTTCGTTCGTACCTTGGCAGTCGACACTTGATTGAAAATAGAAAGGAAGCACGCTGTTAGGGATTATACCGCGTTTACGGTTTAGATGGCACGATGAACGGCGCGTGATTGTGTTTATTTTCTTGATTCTTGATGAGCTTTTCAGGGGAAGGTACCGTTTCGAAAATCGGAGAACGTAACAAGTGTACGATTGTCCGTATTAAAATTTAAAACGAATTTAGGATGTAAACCGGAAAATACTTGGGTAGAAAAGGGAAGGCTACTTACCGGTTAACGTGGTCTTGGGTGTAAACGAATAATCAGCCAAAGTGTCTCCTCGGCGAAACAGTCTCGGGTCATAAACGTTTATTACTTCGCGGAGAATACGGAATGGTAGAGAAGGAGGCGGGGAAGTGTGCGCCGCGTTGTACGGAAGCCTGGGGAAACCGGCGTACAGGACCGTGCTAAATCGTGTAATCGCATTCGTGCGAATATTTGAGTTGCCGTGCGAGGCAAATTTCATCCGTCTCTAGTTGGCAAGTGGCAGCCGCCCGTGCCCGTGCCGCTACCACCATCGCCATCGCCATCGCCACCGCCACCGCCACCGCCGCGCCATTACGCTCCGTAGACATAATTACACGTCTGATTAAACATTACAGTCGCAAGTCAGCCGAGATTTGTCACGAGCGTCTGCGGCCCGGCAGACGTGTCTGTTCCAGGCCCGAGACGGAATCCAAATCGCGCTGTAATTCGGTCACGAGGAAACGAGCTTGGAAACGTTCTACGATCACGATGTGCTAACGACGATAAAAGTCCGACAACCATGCGCTCTTAATCGTCCGTTAGTTGCTAAATCATCGTTCGTTTCGTACGTTTACATCTAATTGTAAAACGTACGCGCGAACGATACCAAACTCGACCAGCTATCCCTCGCGAAAAAAGCCTCTCTCTCTTCGTATCTGTAACGTGTAATTCCGATTCGGTCAAACAGTTTAAAAAGCGTTGCGCCGGTCGAGAATGAGAAAAAGTTTCTCTCGATTAAATGTTCGCCGGAATTCAACGCGTCGAAACAAGGAACGACCACGGAATTTAATTAACATACCGCTGCGCATAAGAAGACAAACTCTACCGAGGACCGAACGAGTAAAAAAAAAACAACAACAGCTTCTCATTGAAAAGGCGTGGCGATCGGTCGATGGTCGGTGACGTGATAGATACCTATACCCTACGTAGAATCAAGCATCGAATTTTAAACGCGCCATACATCGCTTTTTCGTTATCCAGCTTTCTGATATTGTTACACGTTTATGACGGAATGACGTCACTCAAGTACTAGCGCGTTTCGAAACTTTGAATTTACATAAAGAAATTTTACGCGGATATTTTACGAGGACTTGTTAGCGTTGTTCGCGGAGATTTCGTTTGCGCGAAAATTACATCTCCGATCGTAACGCTTTAACGCAGAAATTTCGCTTTTCTGCCCAGAGGGAAGATGAACGAGACGATGAACCAGATTCCTGAAGGCTGAGAGCGAGCGGATCCTCGACATGACCGGCTGGAGAATGCAGCCGCATGTATCGGCACTCGGCGTGATCGCCATTGTCTTCGTCATGATCACCATCACGGCGTCAGGTGAGCATATTTTTTTTTAATAGACAACGTTTCGACGAATAAAAATTTTCTCTAAAAGAGAGAAAATAAAATGTAGGAAGTAGGTAATTTTGATAGCAGTCCATAACATCCGAGGTGTTAATGTCCCTGTCGTCGTTCTATCTAGTGCCTCGATAAAAGTTCTCTTATATTGAGCTCTGCTCCCGCATCGGGTGAATTTTCCCGACGCGAGGTACGCGATTATTTACTTGGTTTTCATGTATCGCTATGCAAGCGATTTCGTTCGGTCAGCCAATAAACGCTTCGCGACCGTTTACCGTGCTCGATCTGTTGAGCAAAAAAGGAGACAAAAATAAACCGTAATACGAAAAGATCGCAGTTTGTCGCTTTTTATGACGGGATCCACCGACCGGAAATAATCTCTGAAATTCGTTTACGCGCAGACATCGCGCGAACGCGTGGCGAAAATCAACCGCCGAACCGACCAAAAATGAAACGGTTTTGGACGATCCGTGAAAGAGATGGTGCAGTGTTTGCACTGGAAAAATGTTTACTCCGCTACTCCGTATCCAACCCCTTCTCGCACGCTTTTCGTAGTCTTTTACAGGATTGAGTTTACTTGCACTCGTTGTACCGCAACACCGCGATCTTGAATGGACCAATCCGGTTGCGTATTAGATTACTCGAAGAGAAACTGTTGATCGTTAAGAAAAAAAATTGAACCGAACGTAATCGATTTCGAAATAATTATTTAGATTATAGCTTGTTCGTAGAAACAGCGCCAGCAGCGTTGGAAATATAAATATAATCGGTAAAATTTGCTGGCTCGCACGTCCTATGAATCCAGCCGCGATATCGGTAAATTATGATCGACGAGCGACATTTTACAATTAAGCAAAGTTACGTGACCGATCGTTCGTGCTCCGACCTATAATTACGCTGATTTAGCGCTACCTTTTTCTGCGTACTTTTACTTTTCAACTTATTTTTGGTGACCAAGTACATCGACACTGTTTCGAATGAAATGTTCACGGCGCTATTTTTGGAAGAAGGAGGGAAACGCGAGGCCTCGAAACAAAGAAATTAAACGGCAGCCATTGTTACCGCGTACGAGCAACGCTTGGAATTTTTTCGCGCGCCCTACATGTATTTTGTTTCAGCGTGGTCTGGTCGCGGCAGAATGCGATGAAATTTTCATCCGCGTTACAATTCTTCTGGTAATGGTGCGAGTTTTATCCGACCATCGGCGAAACATACGGAAGGAATACGGAACGAGTATGTATCGTTTGTAAAATAGTTTTTTCATTGATGGGTGGGTTGTTCGATTAACAAAGTTCTATGTTGAAAAGATTTCGAAAAGTTAAAACTTGAAATAACTACGGTTCGTACGAGTCGATAACGGTAACAGATTCTGCGCGACGTAAAATTACAAATGACGCGTATTCCTCTTCAAAGTTCTGGCAAAAAGGACCACGATATTCTCATTCGTTTCTTACCGAGGCTCCGGCTCTGCGTCGGCGTCGCGTCGCGCGTCGTTTGTGTTGGGTCGCGATTACGTCTTGTCCTAATTGCCCGTCACGCGACAAAGTGTAGGTTCTATTCGCGCTAACTTAAATATCGCGCGACCGAGGGACAGAATTCAAACTGAGAATGCTGAGCTCGAATCGTGTTTTCGAATCGTTCCTTATTTAACTTAATAAAGTAAAAAATTTACATCCATGTAGTTTGTATATGCGTTGTTGGTAATAAGAATACGACACGTAATATAACGAAACGCATGTGTTTATATGGATAGAATGTACACGTACACGAACACGGTTTGGCCATATACCATTCGCAAAACAACTTACGACCCATTTACGAGCAACTCGACCAATTTACGAACATGCATAGCGTCGTTAAAAAGAATTCTTCGCGGATTTTGCTCGTCAGTTCTTCTTGTACGAAAGAAAAAACACATCGTAAATTTTTGTTCCCCGACGATCGTCTCGCGTGTCGACTTTCCACCCCCGGAAATCGCGGTGTAGTTGGATGGTGCGCCATCGCCCACTCTGACCCGTCCTCTTTTTCTTTGCCGTAGAAGCAGAGAATGGCGCCATCGAGAACAGTATCAATCATCCCAGAGTCGACGAGAAGGATCGACGCCTGGAGGAGGACGAGAGGTTGGCAGGAAACGGTACCGTCGACAGGGATTCTATCGTTCCTACTCTTCAAAATCGCTTCAACGAAACTGGCAGCGAGATTACCGTATCCGGAGACGAAGACGGAGACGGGGACGGGGACGGAGACGAAGACGAACACTCTCCGCGCGATACAGAGAATCGCGATGATCCGACGAACGTTTCGGTATCCGAGTCGTTGGCTACTCCTGTGGCGCTCAACGGTATTCACGACTCGCAATCAGTCCACGGTCCCACGGGAACAGAACAAAAGATATTCGAACGCAATAGCCTCGAAAATCAGTCACAGGTAATCGGCATAGATTACGGAACCTCGGCGCAGCCGAGTCGAGTTGAAAGCACATCGACCACTCTATGGGTGGAACATTCGCTTCTACCGAAGAGAAACAACGACCTAGATGCCGTTCGCGTGAATGACAAAAGCCTATCCAACGTCGTGGATGTCCAAGTTGATGGCTCAGGGCTGGAAAACGACGAATCCGTCGGATCCACGTCGATTTCGATCCTTCCAACGATCGTGACGATGACGAGCTCTACCCAGCAGAAGAACGCCGAGGACATCAGGGCTATCTCGTTTCAAGTGCCATCGCCTGTTTTGGAATCGGACGAACGGCATCAGCGACGCGGTGGCAACGAGGAATCGAGGAAAGATTATTCCAAAATGCTGAACAATCATTTTCTACCTAGCGGAAAGTTCACCAAAGGTTTCTACGAGATAAAGCCCTCGATCAAAACCGAGATTGAGAACGATCGAGATCGCGGTCGCAATGGCATGCTTCCGACTACAACTCAGAGAATCTTACTCGCCAGAAAATTCCTGGTGCCCACCGTTGACAGCGCCTTTGGCAAGTTCGGACCTTACTACGAAGACGGCGGACAGGAGGTGAACGTCTCCGCCAGGATTGGAAGCACCATGTTGTTGGACTGCAGAGTCGGCATGCTCGGCAACAAAGAGGTGATGTGTGTTTGCTCGTTTATTGCTCGAAACTTGTCGTATTTTTTCTTGCTCTCGTTCGATCTTGTCAGCTCTCTCTCTCTCTCTCTGCTCCACTCTCTTTCAATTACACTTTTACTTCGTTGATTTCTCGAGTTACAAGACTCGAGTAGTGGTGCACAGTAAAGACTGGATGAATCCAAGAAAATCGAGACATAGACATTGCATTTATCCAGTCAATCCTGTCTGGCACTTATCCAGTCTATACTGTACACGAGTCGAAAAAGGATAGCTGATGACACGTTGAAAAACCAATTGCTACGGTCTTTCTACGGATAGGTTGTTACCTATTCTCGGAAGAAAAATATACACGATATATACATCTATCAAAGTATGTTTCGCCGTCCACGTGCGGATTGACATTGACAGGTACAGATTCGTTTCTAGTGTTTCTCGCTTCTGCGAAAGATTTTTTAGGCATCGAGTAGGATTAATGGAGTGTAACGTAACGATGACGGATAGGATCGCGTATTACCATTTCCTGCATCCCTCTTCGCTTGAAATATTCGGCTACGTAAAATCAGAGATATTGAGATTGATATGGCGCGAGCGCATCGAACGATCCAGTTACATCCTGTCTATCATTCTCATTTCTCAATGAAAATCGTCCTTTATCTACAAGCAATTTTGTTGCGCAACGAAAATATAGAAAGCTACGTTACTCGGCTTATAGTCGAGGGTAACATAGACGGAATGAATTTATCGAATGCATCATCGTTACATGCAGGTACGTTCAAATATTCAAAGCTCGTATCGTATATAGGTGTATTGTATGTATAATCTTCCCTTGTGTATAAATGCAGCGGTAAATATTTGTCAAAATATTTGTTAATGATCGCAACGAAACGCAACGCAACGCATGAACCGTATACTATAGATCAACGCAAAAACCCTCGACTGGCAGAAGCCCGATAAACTCTCGGCCGAAATTAATCTTGTTAACGTTTGAACCAGGCTTCGCGAAACTCGTTGGTTCCCTCAAAGTCAAAAGCAAACCAGAAAGTCCGATACTTTGAAGAAAGGCAGGAAGCTCGAGCGAAACGATTGCAATTACCATTCGAATCCGGAGTTTCGTAAATTCACTGTTTGCCCGTTCACGAGCGAACACAGCTGAAGAAATGAGTGAATCGCAGAGAAAACCGATTGTAATTTCAAACATCATTCTCGTTAGCGTCGTTGGATCGGCCTTCGCGAACAACTTTTTGCATCGTAATCGGATCTGATCGAATTTCGCGTTTTCCGTTCGATCAATGGCTTCCCGTCGCGTTTCGTCGCGAGGGACGCGATCTGCTTGGGATTCCGGATGGATTCATATTCCCTGGAATATGTAATGCGAAACCAGCCGTGCCAAGGAAAGAAAAGGAGATTGACTCGTGCACCTCGATACACTGTAAGAATATCAAACTAAAATCGTCGTTGCGAACTATTCGCAGTCGATTAATTAAGAAATTCGCGACTGTGCGGACCATTTGTATCGAGCTCAATGAGGTAACGGACAAATTTTTGTCCTTTTCCTAAAAAAAAAAATAAAAACAAAAAGAAATATATACATGTCGAATTGAGTAACCTCCTCCTTTTCGAAGTCGGTTAAAAACATAATGTTTAAATCAATCGAACTGGTTAGAGGATGCCAGGCACGAGTACTTTCACCCGCGAAAATGAAGTTTGATAAACTGGTAGGCGTATCGGGGCACGTGTATCCGTCTGACACGACACTCGACACATATCGTACGGTACGCGAAATCGAGTTTTCGAGGAAAAAGAAGAAAGAAAAAAGTTAGCATGGAGTCGCGAGAAGAGAAACGAAAAGTCGAGTCGAGGAGACTGAGAAACGTAAGCCGTTCTCGTCTAGAACGCTTACGAAGAAATTGCTGAGTGCATTCGTTCGAGGACGATTCAACGAATGGCTTCTCGACTCCTCCGTCGCGAAATTATTAATTTTCCGACGAAATCTCGTTTAATTTCCCTGGTCGGTGGACCGTGGAAACAATGCGACGCTTCTTTTTCTGCCGAGGCGCTCCGCTCTCTCATCTTTCTTGCCCTCGAGAGAAATCCGTGATTTATGAGGTAATAACAAAGGATATTTTCTGTGCTACGATTCAGGTGGTGTGGTTGCAACAACACAGCAACGACTCTTTCAGACTGCTCACCGTCGGCAAGACCACCTACAGCGTGGATCAGAGGATTAGTCTGGAATTCAGGTGAGAGAAATTACCGAAAACCGAGACAATTTTTTTCGCAGTTTTACACAAGCAAAAAGAAATTATCTTTTCGTTGTCGAGAGAATCGATACTTGCTAACACGACGCCGTCAAAACAGCTCGATAGATTTCAATGAAATTTCAGTTCTCTATTTCAACCAAGTTTGATCATAATCGATACACATAGAATAACTTTGACCGATTTATAAAAAGAAAAAGCGGAAGTGTATAATCACCAAAACTTGCAGATTCGCGGCAACATAATATAACTAGTACCTACACTCGATATGAAATCTTTTGTTCGCTTGATTTTTAGGTATCCGAGCAATTATAGACTGCAAATTCAGTATGCGACCCCGAGGGACTCAGGACTCTACAAGTGCCAAGTCTCGACGCATCCGCCTTTGGTTAAAAACATTAACGTGATCGTCACAGGTGAGCGAATCTTGTTTTCGACTTTGATAAATTTCCGCTCTGCTCGACAAACTACAGCGAGCAAAGCAATAAAAGACGAATTCGTAAAGTTTTTCCTCGGTGAACCCTGCAAAAGTTGTTGATCGTTAAACGGGAATATCTCGGAGCGTCTAAAGTCCGTAACGTAATCAAGAGTAGCCCAGGGCAGTGGGATATCGCTAAGTATAATCCATTGTCCAATCTCGGTTAAACCCATCCTGATTAGAATAAACGAAAGATGCGGAGTCGGAGAGAACCTAAAGAAAACCGTCGTGCCTGGCTCGCCCCGTTGAATAAATTTTGTTCACAGCGGTCCCGAACCCACTACCGTCCGGTCATCTTATTTTCCTTGGGTGTCCATCGTGCTGTTTCCCTCCGAGGGGCAAATCTCATCGACGTTAGGGGCGCACAGCTTGACCGAGAAATGGGACGAAGGGTAGTCGAGTGACGAGGACACGGACGACATTCGAGACCCGAGAAAGGAACAAGCGAGCCAGCCACGGAGCTACCCGATGGAAAGGGTTAGGGTATCGCTGGATAGCTCTGCCGTTTCCTCTTGGATCCCCTTACGTCGCCAATTCGATGCAATGGAAACCCGCATTTCCTCGACTAAAGCGCCTCGTGGCCAGTAATCCGATCCGATCCGATCCGATCCGAGGAGGGCCGCTCGGCGAACAAAAGCCACCGTAAGGACCAAGTAGGGCAGAACAAACCCGGATAGACCGACATTGTTACACGACTCCTTTCCCTAGGTCTGTCCCCGTCAGTCTGTCCGTTTGGCGCGCGTCTCTGCTTTCCGCGATCGTCGAGCTGCTTGGAATTTCTTTGACCCGTTCCTGCGGCGTGGGCGCGGCGGTCGTTCCGCTCCCACGAGCCTCGCAGCGGACGAAATTCCGAATTGGACGTAATTTCATGACGGTAGAGAGTTGCGATTGGACCGAATCGCTTTCAAATGCTATCGATACGTTGCTACCCTAGTACCCTTATATGGAAAAATCAACATTCGTTGATATACATATGTAATGGCATCATTTAAAGTTCGTAAAAAATTGTTCCGAATAAATTGGTGAAACGAACGTTTCGCTTTCGACGATTCCACGCTTGTCTCCAAGTTTCGACAACGAATCGGAAATGGACGACTCCTGAAGGGTTTTCGATAAGAAAGCGATTAGTCAAGACTAATGAACAAAAGCCACCCACTGAGAGGCAAAAGTAGGTCGGAACGAATGGTTGCGAGGAGACGTTCTTCCGGCTCTTTTCCTTTCCTCGTCCAACTTGGATTGCAATTTTTCCAGTCGTAGAAATTCCTTTGACCAGTGTCATTCGTCATTCTTCCACTCTGCGAGCATCGAAGAAAGAGGAATACGATCACGGTCGATCAACGACTATGACGATGAAACGCGTTGTCGTTTGAAACGACAACTTGCCAACTTTTCTGGAGCATCGTGAAAAGAATACTCGGCGAACAAGTGAGAGAAGCACTCGTCGAAATCGCATTTTGCAGTCGCGGTGCAAAGATAAAGAACTGGAGAGGTAACATCAGCGCGAGAGAAAGCGCTCGTTCGAGCTACGGGAAACTTTCGGGAACTCAACTGCACCAGGTCTGACCGAAAAGGTAGCGTTCCAGTAAACAGCTCTAGTAACAATGTTTTAGTAACAGTTGACTCGGTGAACGAAACGAGATCTTTTTCCTGCTCTGCGATTCTTTACTCTAATAGTTACTTTAATAGTACTTTTTAGCGTGTAAGGAAAACGGAACTGTGACGAGACGTAGATCTCGAGATCTGGGATGTCAGCGTTCTTCGAGATTGCATATTTGTCACGTTGGAACGATTTCTCGCATCTACGTAGACGGACAGAAGCGCAGCGTCGAGCTGTCATCGATCATCGCGATACGATTAACGCCAAGATTGATCCATGTTCATCGGGCTCCATTTATTAGGTGACGAAGGCTATGACAATATTTGCCGCGCCCCGATAAACATGCGAACCGTGTTTTTCGCACGAATCGATTCATTAAACACTTTGTTCGACACGCTTTGTGTCTTCGGATATTTATCGTGACAGTTTCGATATACGTGACGACATTTTACCGACACGCGATCCGTGTATAGATATTTCACTAAATTCTTTCATATGAATGTCGTTTAATATAAAAAGCATTTCTCTGTCTAGAAACGAATAAATGAATAAATAGAATGGTTAACGCGCGGACGATCGTCGTCGCGTCGATTCAACTCTCGAAGGAATAACCGCGGACGCTTTCAACAATATCGCACAGAGTATTTCACGAAACGGACGAAATCTAAGCAGCTTAATATTTCAGCATCGAAGGGAAATCAATTCGTAAAACTGGTAGAGAAAGTCGAACATTGAGAGAGGGGGTGCGGGCAGCGCGGCATGGAACTCGCGCCATGCGGAATTGCGGAATCCAATTTAAATAATATAGAGCAGGTAGGTACTCGTCTTTCTCCCTTCCTTCTTTCCGCGACTTCTGATGTCCCCATGGGAAAGCATCCGGTTCGATGTGCATCCTCCTACCCCGTCCACCTGGTCCGCGACCATTCGTTCCAAAGGAGCTTAAAAAATGATCCGTCGGAAGAAATTTCGAACGTGGCCCGCTCCCATACCCCACTGTTCCTCTACAGTCTCGATGGATTAAATTTTCCATCGAATCCCATCCGCGTGCCTATTCGTTGAACAGTGCCGGAGATATCCGATGCTTCCTCTCCGAGAACGGGTTATTTACCTTTCTCGATCCGTCGATATTCCACGCGGAACCACTTTTATTCGAACCATGGATCGCGATCGGCTCGACTGAAAAGTATACATCAACGCTGACGTTTACTAAAGATTTCACCTCCGGTATGGAACGCTATAACAGAGGAACGCAGAGAGATGCGCTTTTATAGCGCATTACTATACGTAAAAGTCAACGCAGTGTACGTCTAAAGGGAAAACAAATCGGAATAAACCGATTAATTCGAACAAGATACAGCGAGTGAGAAAAGGAAAGAGAAGAAAGGGAGGCAACGTATTTTTGTATAGCGATCGACTCAAGAATCGCGGACGGTTGGTTGCATCGAGTCCTAACGGACGCTGCAGTAAGGGCCATGTCGGAAACGTTTCCGCATTCTACTCGAAAATCGACTGGTTCGAAATGTTTCTACACCAGATTACGTATAAGGAACAAGGATCGCCTTCGACGTTGATTTTCCTTCGCGAAACCTCGAGACCGCCAGCCTCGTGCAACAAATGTGTTCGCTTCTTTCACTCGAGCCTAATTTTGATGACCGGTCACGTACCGACACGCTCCCATACCTGTCCCATTTGTCATCCACGGTGTTGGTTCCTCGATAAGACGACAGAGTTCCGATAATCGTTTCTGTTGGTTTCCGATGGAACCTATCGTTACGATTCTGCGCATCCAACGACAAGACATTCGACACTTCTGTTGCAAATAATTGATTTTGAAATTCTTCTTACGTAGAAACGTCCAATGTTTATCGTTTTTGGGCTCAATTAACCCTTCGTTTCCAATGATTATTTTCAAATACTTATACCTTATCTTTTGTATGTTTCGAAAATCGAAATAAAAATATTATGCATATGTATAATGCGACGAATAAACAATTTCATTGTTCTCGTCTTCACGGTAGACGAGCATGTCATTCAGAAGACCTGTTTTGAATTGCAGCGCCGGAATTAACAATAACGGACGATTCCGGGCGAATAGTGCCTAAAGAAAGACACCTGAAGGCAGGAAGTGCTCTGAAACTCAAGTGCGAAGCCAGAGATGTCCTCGAAGTCCTCAAGGAGTCCGTAATTTGGACTAGAGGAGATGAAACGCTCACCGAAGACGTTAGGTAAATCTTACCGATTCCATTAAGCCTCATCCTTGCAATTCCTATATTTCTCGAACATTTCTCAACAAAATACAATTCTTCATCCAAACTGTACCTGTATGTAGCTACGTACACGTGGATGAACAGATAGGTGGAAAATAAATAATGATTATTCGGTTTCGGTAATTTTACGTTTTACAGCGGACAACAATTAAATCCAAACTCCTCTCATAGATGTCCATATTATCTCGCTACGTGAAACATACGAGCGCTATTCCATTTCCATCTCGCCATATTTCTTCGCGCGGCAGCTGCGTGTACGGATAAAAGTGCTCGAAAAGATAAATAAATTTCATCGCATGATCGTTCTTCATACAATAATATGCAAATTTATTCTCGTATTACTACTAACTCTCTCGCCGTACGTCAACTTAAATTTCTGGAAAACACTTGCAATTAAAATGTGAAATTTTTCAAATTCGACCTCGAAATAAACTCTGCGTTGTAGAAAAATACAAATATGCGTATTTTCTCTCGAAAAAGGATAAAATTCTATGGACGAAGCATCGAGAGTACGTCTACGTACTGTATTGCGTTTGCCGTGCAACCAATTTCCTATTTGCGAAAGAAGAGTCGATAATCCCAGCTCTGCAACTCGGAAATCAATTGGAGCATCGCTACGCTCGCACTGTAATCTAGCATGAGCTCGAGGCGCACACGCGACAAGGTCCATCGACCGAAAGCAATTTCACGAAAGACGATCCCGCGAGCGACGTTAATGAAATTATCAACCACAGGGGTTCCAAGTAGAGCGCAAAAAAGACTCGAAACCCGCTCGAGAGAGAACCGTATCCGCGAAACGAGCCAACACTCTTGGTCCCGCCCTCTCATACCGTCCTCACCTTCTTCTTCGCTACTTTTCTCCAGACCGTAACGCGGATACGTAGCGTATCCGTGTTCACTGACACTTATTACCGCCGACGCCGACACTGACGCGACGGCCGAGATACATACAGATACACGAGCTCGATGTGGGTCACGCAAGGGTATCTCGTTTCCAGCGAGAACAGGACAACGGAGATTACGGCTGGTAAGGAGGTCCTCGTGATCGTCAGCACCCTGATCGTCGAGAAAGCTACCCCTAGGCACGCTGGCAACTACACCTGCGTGGTACCCGGAAAGGCCAACACGACTATCGCGGTCCACGTACTCAACGGTGAGTTTTTCACTTCCATAATATGTGTGGGTAGATAATAGTGGCAGCGTTCATTCGTGAAATCTATAAACTGCATCTCATATATATTTATTTCAGGATATGTTTTTAATTATTAGGGGTAGAAAATAAATTATTTATTTGTTGCGGGTGGTAATTGCAAGAAGCAACACCTACCAACAAAATCAGGAATGATGATCGGTTATTTAGCTGACACATGTAAAAGTTTCAGAACGGTCAGAGTCCTGGAACATGGTTAAATAATTAAAAATTAATGCATACGGCGTAATGCATGGGATTTTTGTTTCTTTTTAATTACTTAACCATGTTCCAGGACTCCGACCGTTCTGAAACTTTTACATGTGTCAGCTAAATAACCGATCATCATTCCTGATTTTTTTGGTAGGTGTTGCTTCCATTTACCACCCGAAAAAAAGAAACGATTCATTTTATACCCTTAATAATTAAAAAATACTCTGAAAAAATATATGAGACGCAGTTTATAAGTAGGAATATTTTCGTCTTTGCAGAATTTAAATATCTGAAATTAACCGAGAAAAAAAAAATAATAAACTTAAGTCATATTACCCTTAAACGGGGAGATAACGGTCTGAAACTTTGTGGGATGATGTTTTAGGTCAAAAGCATTGTACGGCACATAATAGCAATGAAAATTGTGGTGGGGACCGATTGCCTATCCTTATCCTGCTAGACCCTTTTATACGCACTAGTAGGTATTAATTACCATCGAACGATCGAACACCTTTGAACGAAAATTGAATGCCTTCGCCGTCGGCATTCGCGGTCATGTTGGAAAATTCATTAATTCGAATCGCGCGATCGTATATTAAAGCGTTCGAGGGGCGGATAAAAAGTAAATGACTCTTGTAAAAAATGAGATCGTCCCCCTGGGGTACGATTTATCGCGCGTCGAGTTTTTCTCTTACAATTAGGTGGTGACATTTCGACCGTACAGCTACTCGCGCTTCTTTATGCCCAGATGATCGTAACGCCGCCGACGCCGACTTCGACGCTGTGCTGAAAGAAACGAATAGAAGTATGACCAACGATGTTTTTAATAGAAAATTTCACTTTGAAATTTCAATACGTTCGGCTCATTCTAAGATTCTAGGATTCGAGACGTCGGCGTCGCGTCGTTTAACAGTGAAATACTTGTCTTAATGTTCACTTTAGAAGTTTGATTCGTGAAAATAGGCCCGGAGTATCGAGAAACAAAAAAGAAAAAAAAACGATAATGACGACGAGAGTAGAAATGCTCGAACATCCGCGAGAAAAAGCGACAATACGTGCTTTCGCATCAACGGAGTCACGTATCACGACGAGTTCTTCGAACACGGGAACGCGACGAATCCGCACACCCGCCCGTCGACATTATAACGGGACTCACGTTTTCGGGATGAAAGGAGTTGAGAGCTTTCACGGAAAAGCTCTTTCTCGTCAGAGATCCATCCGCTTTCGATACAAGAAAGAAGCACCTTGTTATGTTCTTGGCTCGATTGTGCGATAGTAGACGTAACAGATATTTATGGTTACAGAAATGAATCACTTTCACCTTTTCTGTACAGGGAAAGTAGATATCGTCCTAGTGGGTATATAGCCATTTTACTCGACGTTGACGTCGACGTCGATGTCGATGTCGATGGGCGGATCACAAGCAAGGACTAGTTTCACTAGCTGATCGTTTCGATGCTCTGATCGTCTTTAACTTAAGCCTTAATAACCGTCGTCCTCGTTGGAATTACAAATCTCGTCCGACCGTCGGCGTCGCGGCGTCGCTGCTATGCCGCTATGCTGGGAGTAACTGAGGGATAACGCGAGATTAATCTGATCGTTAGAAAGGCAATCCGCCATCGAATTACTTTGACCTCTTTCTTCGGTTTCCGACTCGCGTCTCTCGAATCCGTTCTTTTCTATATTTTATTCCGAAAATTTGACAAATTTTACCAGAGGTACGGCCAATTCGTGGAGACTCGTCCATACCAGCGTAAACATGTAGCTGGGCTTTGGATTTTAATTAGTAGGACATGTAAACTGATTAGCGATAACATTGACGAATTTTCGATGATAATACCAAGTGAATTAAATATACCGGCGACAATACACGTGCCACTGGGCATAATTAATTTGATTATTTGGTAAATTAATAATAAAATGATTTATTCCAATCTACGCGTGCATGGTCGTTACATTTGTTCCATCTAGTGATTCCGTGTGTGTAGTTACACGCGTGGTTATTTCCAATGGTTCGTACTATCACGATAAAAATAATATTCGCAGCATAGATAACGCGTTTTTAATGAAGGTATAAAATGGATCCGATCGAATAACATTTTCCGTATATGTATAACAGATTTTGAAAGTAAAAATTTCATACGAAGACTTATTTGTAGAACTGAACGGAATAGATCGCTAGCGTGATACAGCATGGATAAATTATCTAACGGGAGCGCATCGCGACTTACAATTTGGAAACAAGTCTATGCTCTAACAACCCGAATAATCCAATGATCGTCTCTGGAACGAATTTGAAATACGTGTCTGACCTGAATTCTGGTTGACGTTTCCAGTCCTTGTCAGCCATGTTCCGGGTGTACGCCATGTCCATGCCGAAATTCATTCGAGCGTTCCGTCAGCATTGCAACTAGCTACTACAGGTATCGATTGCTCAACCGACGATAACGCGTGCCCCCTTGAAAATGTCTCCAGAAACTTTGGACCCTTTTCTATTCCTCCGTCTAAATCGCGTCGTATGACTTTACGAGAGGGCTAGGGGCTAAGAGGGTACAACTACTTTAAGTTGTATTAGCCACGGATAAGACGCGAAGGAGACAATAGAGAGCGAGCGGATCAAGCGCGCCTATAATTTGCCGAACGTCGAACTATCGTCGGACCATCCTAATTGCTCAAAGCTCGTTAGGTAATTCGTGCAATTAGACAATTAGACCAATTTCAGGCAGAGTCTGGTACATCTCGCATAAGGAGATTAATTATCAACGGTCGGAAAACTGGTAATTATTCTCCGAGGCGAGGATATTCGAAGCATACTTCACTCACGCTTGCATCGATTCTACATACGTGTATATAATAATAATTCTTCGATGAAACAAACAATCAACGACGTGGATATTCTTCCGTTGAGAATATGTATTTAACGTATGTCGGTGACTCTCGCGCGAGGAGATCCTTCAAGTTAAAAGATACGAGCTCGATGTTGGTTCAACATCGGGCCAGCCGTGTCGCGACCGAGCGAGACGAGCGCGAGAAGTCCCAGACATAAACGCTACGTAACGTGATATCGGGCACATGCAACCACCAACTGCGAATTACTTGACCCTCCACGGCCACCAAACTACTTGTAAAAGTGGGAACGTCTGGTTTTACGGCATTGTTCCCATTGATAGGAGACCGGTCCAACTAGAAACCGGGGCAAGCACCCTAATACGCGTAAATCCTCGTCGTTGATCCTCGCGCGAACACCAGAAAGTTTCTCGCGTATCGTGTAGGGTGACTTAAATTTTGATCAAACTGGATTTCACCCACGATGTGTATGAAATGTTAACATTTCAAGTAGAATTTAGAATTGATGACGTTTTCTTTTCTTTCTTTCGCAACGATTTTATTTCCGATTTATTAATAACCGTACGCTCGCTGTACAATTGAAACGCGAAAGTGTTACTCGATCTGTAGCGATTCAAACTGGAACCTCGTTATGGTTAACGCACAATTACATTTACGTAAACGAATTCATTATCGAGGAAAAGTATTTACTCGATGGATAATTTTACGGAAATATCGGGAATTTGATATTAATTCGACAGGCGATCAAGGAAACCATACCGATGCCACTTTACCGATTAATGATGCAACTTACGGTCGAAACGAATTTAATATTTCTAACGTTGAAAAATTCACGTGTTATCAAAATCCGTTATTAAGGCGACATAAGAGAGACGTTTCAATGCGATTAAATTGCGCTATGAAACATTTGTACGTACCTATGTATGTATGCGTGTGATGAAGTGCGCGTTGTGATGATATATTGTATTATATACATATAGAAAAAAAACTACCAAGAAATATAGTGTAATAAAACCTCTGAGAATCACGCGAGAAACGCGTCTCGCGTTGACTCTTCTCTTAAACGAAATAAGTTACTAGACGTGTATGTAGGTACGTTACGTTACTGGATTCGAGGAAACCCGATAATCAAAGAAAAGAGCAAGAGGATCGAGGTTCGATCAGGGTTGTCCGTTGACTGATTTATTTCACGATCCTCGAGGTGTCGAGGATCTCGGCAGCTTACCAGGCCATTGCCAGAGCTGACATTCGCTCGCCAAGAGGAATCTTTCGAGACGAAGGAGACCAAGTTGGTGGCGTCGAGACTTAATCCACTAATTTCTCTTTCTCGGCCGCTGCCACGAGTCACGAGGCGAATCGAAGGTCGAAGGGTGCAAGGGAATCATCGCCTACGTCTAATTAAACTTCACCGCGGTCCCGATAATTCGTCTTCCGCTTGATTAAATTGCGACCAACTCAATTCCTGAACACGCTTTAACAGTGATTTTTTTTATCGCGTAGAGTACAGAATCGATTATTTCTCAAATATATAATTCCTTGACATTTGGCTCGGTATCATCTTTGAATGCAGGTGATACGCAAGTACATACATACACAAGAGAAGCGGACGGGAACATTGCACGCTGAAATTCGCAATCCGAAAAGGTGGTTGCGTACGACAGAAGTCAACAAGTCAGACATAACAGCGTGAAAGTAAACGAATTCTCGGTTACACTTGAAAAGTAACCGGCAAAGTGGTTTGAAGTTCCAAGTTAAGATCTCGCAACGCCGAAACAAGCTTCCCCATATCGTACGAAAACTTGGAAGAGAAATACTCGTAAAGGAAAGAAGAGTAGATTCACCGAAGCATTCAGGCATGAGACTAGACCGATCAACGTCACTTTGTGTCAATTTCTTAATCTCATTGCCAGTGAAACGTTAAGAAATGACACAAACGTTTTCGTTTCTCCAAACTGGTACACTACCGATACCGTCCGAAAGTTTGGAATGCTCGCGTTTTGGTAAGTTGTGTATAGCTATTTGTAGTGTTGTTAAAATTAGCGAGATGTACTAGGTTCGTATGTATTATATGTACATATATCTCATTCGCGTTATTCGAAAATTGTATCTAGATAAGAATTTTGCGTCTCGCTAGGTTCAGGGGTTAGGAATTGGGATTCCTGACTCTGGAGCAACATGGAAGGAAGTGGTCAATAGGAAGTTCTGCTACGTGCACTCTCGTCCCGGAGGCTGCGGAACACTCGGCAGCGCACAGGAAATGCATCCAACCGGGCTGAATCGAAATAACAATGAACAGCCAAGGGACAACAAGCTGCGAATACATTGTTCGACGAATGTGGTGTTGTTCATTGATTAACGAAGCATTTGTTGTAGCCAATTGATCGTGACTCCGCACACTTGGTCGTTTTCTTTTTTTTTTTTTTCTAGAGTTAGTTCCATCCATTTCGTCAAATTTCAATCACGACACGGCGTAGATGAGAGGAGAAGAGGATTAATTGTAACGCTAGAATCGTTTCTTCGATTACGCAGATATTTCACTCACTGATTATTGTAATAAACAAGAAAGTTTATACCTAGAAGAATCGTCAACAAGAAATTGTTCGAGTCTTCAGCCACGAAAGATAATTATAATAATTCGATCGGCTGGTGGTTGAGCTTGCGAAACTTATACCAGGAGAAAAAATTCCAATACAGATTGAAATGAAACTTAATCAGCAGTGTCCGAGATTCAAGAGATTCCCGGTTGGAAAAATATCCCCAGCCGCGCGGTGTCGAGGTTCCGTAGATTCGCAGCTCCGTTTTCGTCATTATCGGCTGTCTGATTCCTCCGAAGGATCGACGCTGACGCCGACGGCGCGGCGGCACGTACCTTCCGGTACGTCGGCGGCGGCATCGCGAGACTCTGATAGAAAACGTGCTTCCGGCACGGGTGTTCAGGATCGCCCCAGAATTTGTCTCTCTCGATTTCTTCTTCCGGCCGTACGCGGCATCTTTGTCCTTTCGTTTTCTTTCAGGAATTTATCGCGTCTTTCGTTGGAACCCTTTACGTGTCTACTCAGTTTCCTTCTCTTCTCGGAATTTTCTTCCTTCTGGCGTTTCGTCGAACGTCTCTTTCATCTCTCAATTCTCCACACCAATGTCCCGTCTCCGAAATCGAGACGGGATTTATCTCTTTAGTTTTCAATAGTATTCGTTGGTCGCGAGTCATGTTTCTCTTCCGTTTTTCGTTTCTTCGGATTTTAAGCTAACAAACAATCATACTTTCCATCCAAAATGAACGTATCTCTGCCACGATTGCCTCTCGTGTCGCACACTCAACAGAAATTACGAAAGTACCTGTACCTATACCTTGATCGATAATTATAATTCGTTGTCCAAATTCCTAGTGAAAAATTGGCGACAAATTGAACGCAAGGCTGACCCGCGCCAAAGGGTTCAAGTTGAGCCGACCGACACACTTTCTGTTAACGGAACGTACACAAGGAGAGAAGAGACAGGCCGCTCGCGGTGCAACAACCATTAATAAGGACTGCCTAATTTCATGAAAGCCCCGAGCCTCCAACTATTATCTAGGAAACGTAACTCGGTCGAAGAGCGATTAAACGAACGCCACCAAAATACGTCAACCTGCGGCGGGTTGCGGCGGGCTGTGCCTGACAGAAAACCTATACACAGAACAACCATTAATGAAATGACAAATGTGTTCTTGTCGGCGGCACGAGCAGCCGCGCGCGGACTACGCGAGCGAAGCGTTTCAAAACCTGTCGCCGCGCACGCGCCGGCCACGTTGGAAAATAAAATACCTACAGTACCATGTACTCGACTGTGTGATTTACGAATTCGCGACTCTATGATCGCTATTGATCCCACGTCACGAAACGACAGCGACGTCTTTGTAATGTAAAAATTCGAAACAATTCCTCGTGTTTCAAATGTCGAGTCAATTGTGCAAACAGAAATTTGCAACATCGTCAAAAACGGTATTCCGGTAAAAGAGAAAATTTAGTCCAAAGGGCCTCTCCCGCTCTCTCGATGAAAAAAGAAACGGAATGAAAACTCGATACGGCTAATAGTTCCGGAGTTAAAAATTCATTTGTGTATCCATAGATATCGTTGAATGAAATAAACATCATCTCCTTAGGTTTACGTAATTCTTTGAATTGATTTCCCACTCTCCCGTTGTTTTAGGTGAACTGCCGGCCGCTGTGCACGATGGAAACGGAGTTTCCAAGGCATTTCTGAACCTGTGGCTAATTCACTTAACGATGAGCTACGTGTTCTCCAGATGACAATATTAAGGTGAGTCGATTCCTCGAGTCTAACGAAAAAATATCTTGAAACGAAGTAGCAGATATTTTTCTACGTATAAAATGCGATTTGAAACATTTTCGATCGAGAAATTATCGTCATTATTCGCATCACCGAGGAATTCGTTATCGGAGATCCGAGTTGACTCGTTCGAAATCCAAATCTATAGAAATTTCAGTGAAATTTCAATTTCATCCCTCGCAGAGTTTGACTCCAGGAGCAAAGAGAACTTTTTCGAATTCAATGATATGGTCTTCCTCGAAAATGTTATGAATACGCTGGTGTGCAAACTCTTCGGGAACAGGCTGCCGTTCTCATGCAACCGTTTTTGCGAACTACGATTACTTCGATGGTCGAGTATTATTACGTCCTTCGAGATTCTCGCGAGAACTGTTGAGAAATTCATAGATAAACGAAAGCGTTATAGGATTTGCGCGATCTGGGTCGAATCTGATAGAGATTTTCGCTGTCTTTCGAATGGGTCTGGTCGAATCTTAGGATAATTTCAGAGAATGGAGAAATTCATAGAAAACAAAAGCGTTATAGGATTTCCGTAATTATTAACGCCATGACTCCTCATGTCGTAAAGCGGTTCGATATTCCACCTCTTCGGTGATTCGAAAATCGTTCCACTCGTGTCGCTTTGTTAATTCTTCTCATAATCAGTTTAACGTGTCAGAATCAGACCTTGTCCTCACAGTCCTCCTACCAAAAGGCAAACCCTTCCTCGGTCCAGAATTTAAAGCTCCGTTTGAAACTGTGTTTTTATTTCTTCACATGGTCCACTTCTCGTTCACTCTTCGTTCACTTTTCGCCAGCCGATGCCTCGTTGTCGTATTTTTACTTCCTTCGTTGTTTAACAAACTTTCCATCCGTTTCATTGCGGTTCGCGATGTTTTTTCTCTTTATCTTTTCGAAATGTTCCGCCGTCGTCGGCGCGACGCCGCCGTGGAAATTTCCACTTCCGGTTTGCTTTCCTCTTCAACGAACATGTCGCTTTCTCTTTGTGCACTCTTACCGTTTTATTTTTTTTTTTTTTTTTTATTTGTTTTTAGCATTATACCCTAATCCGAGTTTCAGATGAGTTTCCAGAGTCTGGGCTGCTCGAAAGCCCATCGAGTCATAAGAAAGTTGCGCCAAGTTTCCGGGTTAATGCGAAATCTTCCGTGGGCTTCCGTCTCTGCGCTGGAAACCGGAAGAATACGGTGACGCTTTAACGAGGAACAAATTGTCTCACGGTTTTCACACGTCACTGCGCATACCAGATGCGACCTCAAATCCTATTCCCTCGTGATGGGAACTACGAATACGAATTTTTCTTGGTAATGTATGTACAGCAATTTCTTCTGTCGCAAATATTCTTTAAAAGAAATATGAAGAAATAAAATTTGCACGTCTAGCCACGGCACGATTCATTATTTAGTAGAAACATTCAGAAACGACGGATTTTCCGTTGTGCGACCACGCGCAAACGTATCGAGCCCGACACAGCTCGTGAATTAACCGATATTCGTAATTTAAGCTTTTATCGTTCCGATCACGGGAATTCTCGCATGGCGAATAGCCACGGTGTAATTTCATGCTTCCAGAGGAGAAGGAAGCTGGGGTGCCGCTCCGCGCCGCCATGCAACGGATCTCCCGCGGAAACTATAGCTTATGCGGCCTAGCTTGCAACGCGGTATCTATCTCGCCTTCCGTGCTTTCATTATCAGTTACCATAGATCACTGCGTGAACCTCGATGACGTCGCATCCGTCCGTCCGTTCATAGCTCATCGTTCGTCGAAACGTCGGTGTCGGCGTCGGCGTCGCTCGAGATATTTCCCAGTCGTGAAACAAACATTTAACCGTTTAATCTTGATTAAATCGCCGTGTTATGTTATTTCGTTTTAGCGAAGAAAACTTGATTGGTATGTATTCGTACAAGAACGAAGGAATGTGAAAGAAAACAGTGCTCCGCGGGGTAAACGGTTTAACGGTTGTGATTCATCGGTTTAATCCAATTACAAAACGAGCCGTGCTATCTCGAGAGACACAGACCGGCTTTAAGGCGAATTCATAAATTTTCATCGTTCTCCGTCGATTCCCGGCGCTCGCGAATATTAGGTAATCCTTGGACTATTGCGCGCGAATACTCGTAAATATTGTTTGGACGAAAATCCTTTGTTTAGAGTGCCAACGATACTCGACTTGACCACTCGCGCGCATCTTTTCATTAGTAAACAAAAAAGGCTCGAACTGTTAAACTGTTGAATCGACGAATGTTACACGCATTACAGGTATAGAGGTACGCCAGCAACAATCTAAAGAGAAGATTTTTGTTTCGTCGATTGTTGCAACCTCGGCGCTGAAGCAAACCTAGTCGCGCGTGCAACAACCAAGTTTCCAAGGAAACTTAGAAACGATTGAAATCGACACCGGAAACTGGATTCGAAAGTTTGAGTGGAATTTTAATGCGGTTACCGGGACCGATGGAGGACAAATGGCTCGGCATTAACTGTAACCCCGTTTTCTACAGTCAATTGCTCATAATCGCGATAAAGGGCCAGAATGAATCTGTCAATTAGCGGGTGCCCAAGTGGTAATTAACCTTGGAAAAGTGAGCAGAGCGGATTCCGCGTTAAATCCTGTGCCCGGACTACTTCTACTTGTTCTATTAGCTAGATCCGGTTCATCGAAAAAATAATGAAAATCCCTGATTGCGATTCTACAAACTCTCATTAAGAAAATCTTATACATTCGGCAAGTGAATCTGATATCCCGTTATTTGACACGTAATTTTCACAAATTTCGTAAAAATTTCTATTCGGAACCAGTTACTCTGTTTTTACGCCCACGGAACGCCGTGCCACGCCGTTTGAAACCGTTCCCGGGCATTGCGGTTTCCTTAATTTAGACGCTAAAAATTTTAAGTTCCCCCGCAAGCACTTGAACTTAATTAATGTAGAAGGTCGTTTCTTTATTTTTCACGGATCCAGACAACATCCACGTGTTATCACTCTTCTGACAAGCTCAGTACGAAGCGAGAAATTACTGTGGCTTTTTGCGAACTGCGTACCGTAAAAATGAACGAAAATGTGTACGCGAAATTAGAATGTTTTCTCTTCCAGGATTTTCACTTTCCGACATAGACGTTACGAACTTACGAAGGCAACGTGTTAAACGCGAGAGTAAAAGCAATTACGGTGTCTTTTTCACCGTGAGATTGAAATTTCTACCTCGGAAAAACGCAAGTTACGTTTCTCTGTCGTTTTATTTTGATACAAAAAGGGGAACAGGTTCGATACGGAACGCGCGAGCGTATCGGACATACCCTAGAAATTAGATCCAGGTTTTATCCAAGTTTCATTATCCGTTCCTCGGTCTCTCTATTGTTGCAACCGCGAATCCTAAGAAACGAACCACTATCTATTTCAGTATACTATCGTTTCGAATTCTTATTGTTAGTCCGCAGTCGAAAGAAAGCCGTGTCTTTGCACTCTCTATTAGAAAATAAAAACTTTTCTATACATTTCTTGGAATCACATAAAGAAAATCGATTCTCGGTTACAAAGTCTAACGATAAGTTTAAAACTGTGCATACGTCTATCACGCGAGACACCATGGCTCTATTTGGAACGGAATCGATTCCTTCAGCCGACCCGTCGCGCGAGTCGCAATTATTATTCTCCTCTTTGGTTTAGTTATCGGTTCGGCCGGTCATTACGAGAGCAATTAATCGACCTTGCGAAACTAGGACCACGATTAATTTGACGAAATGCACAGCTGAACGGATTCGTTGGTTTCACGAACAGCCACGCGTTTTTCATGCGCACACGACCATGTCGAGATTCCCTCTTTTTGTCTACAGGCTCTACACTGGCCATAGGCCAAAAAAATGGACCGCAAATGGAGAATCGATGGAACAACAAGCGCATTCATCGGGCTCATTAATTCTGTAACTGCAGCGAACGGAGTGCAGAATCGTTGCGTATCATCCGTGGCGACGATTTATCACTTTTTAAAGGAAAATATAAATAAAACGACGCTGCCGGTCGATCGTTCGCGCATCGATATTCGTGTAATTTCCAGACACGTTGGCGTTGGGTGAAGCAACGCGGCGGGCCGAGTAGATAAAAATCGTGGAAAAAGCGTCGTCGAAGCAAAATTGGACCCGCACGATCGACGTTGAAACATTTTCAGATTACACCGAGATACGTGTACACATCCTATGGAAAGAACCCCCTTACTTTGTTGGGGATTTTATCTATAACCCTTTACATATACGACGCGTAGCTAACCAATATAATAATCAAAGAAAGACCCATCGAGAGAATTGTTCCGTTTAATACGCGCGGCATGGTACGAAAATAAGTTGCATTGTTCGTGTCGATCGTCAAACTCAATTGAAAAGTTTTTTTCAAATTCATCGCGATTTTCATCTGAACGACGAAACGCGAAATTGAAAAACCGGGTTAAATTTTCAAGCGGCACCAGGAACCGTGAATTTCTGTGAGCCATGGCGCGCCGCGGCGCTCGGTGTAGGTATGAAATTAATCAATAGTTTTCCAAGTGTAAATTGTATAAGAGAAAATGAAAGTTTCTACGCGTGAAACAAGTAAACGAACTTTGCACAACCAGCTTCGAAATATTTCGTAATGAAAGTATCACGATCACTCGTCAGACTACCATAAGTCTTCGCTAAAAGAGTTATAACCTCCGCGCTCTCATCGTCTCCGACCACGCTTTATCTTCGTCAATCGAATTACTGTGCGAACGACTTCAAATTTTCAATTTTCTTCCTCTTTCTTTTTTTTTTTTTTTTTTTTGTTTCACTTGACCTGATCCTGCAATCGTGGCACGCCGATGCAGGTTTCGCTGAATCTGCAGTGACACGTCGGTTGGTGTTGTACACACGTACGTATAGAGATGATTTTTGTCGAACAAACTATACATATACGTGCGTATGTATGTATCGTAGGAGTCTAAACGAAAAATAAGACACAGGGATTCGAACCCACGATCCCGTAGCTTACGTTTCGTGTTCTTATTTGACTCCTTATTGTTGGGTATGGGAGGCGCGGATACTACAGTATGTATATATGTTCCTTTTAATATTATTGAATATAACGGCAAATAAGAAACATGTAGATGCGAAGAAAATACGACAATAATATCGGTCGCCTTTCGTGAATGCTTTTCTCTTTCGCCTGGTGCCTAGAATCGAAATTTATTATCCTTTTATTGGGAACATTCTCGCAAATGTTAACCAAACAATACCCTTTGTTCGAGTGTCCCAGGTTTTTAAATCTGTCAGCGGGGATACAGTTGGACCGTTTGGGATTAAAAGAGGCACTGTATTCAGAATTCAAGTGCATCTAGGATTGCGAACGTTTCGTTTGATTTATACCGCGATGCGTTACCGCGGTGCTACAGTGACGCGGTGATAAATGTGTGCCCATGGATGGGTTCGAGAAGGCCGCGTATCGATTTCCACGGATGAATTCGGTATCGAGATTGAATCGTTCGCGATAAAACTTGGAATAACCCTGTTTCAGAATTGAGCGAACATATATACCTATGGAAAAATTTCGATGGTTCAGCGAAATCTGTAGATTCCACGGTGTTCTCATTACAGCCACACCGATCGCGAATGTATCAGGTCACGCGTCCCTGAGTAATAAATCGAAATCAACGTTCAATCGTGGCCGAGATACTTGGCCAATGAACGGCGAACCGCGTCGCGTCGCGTCGGTGGCAATGCGCCATGTAAAATGAATAATTAATATATTCAAATGGAACACACTTAAACCGTGTAGTGGCACTCGTCGGACGTTTCCGCGGTGTGCACACACCCCTATCTATCCAAATATCCATTACACGCGGACAAGCTCATTTGAATTCACACGTACAATCGTTTGGTACGCGCGCATATGCTCCCGACAATTCATCGTGTTTGTGCTTATATGAATGCGCTTATACTCAATATATTCATATTCAAAGTTACATATACGACGGGTCGGTCCTCGTCGGTACTGTAACCTCTCCTGAAGATTCATGTGGGATACTTAGACAAACTGGTCTCCACGCATATTACGTTCGCTGTATACCCTTTAACAGAACATTTGTTCGAACAGTTCGGATGAAGTAATTATTATTTGGTAATGGTTAATTTGGATCGATTCTCTCGTCCGTGATTTCTATACGATGTAATAGCCGAGCCAAGGAAAGGAAGATTTGCTTGTTCGAGCAAAGTTCAGCCGACAAAAATATGAAGAATGATTCAATTGTAGAGAGCCGAGAGAAGCTCGCTTATTTCCTGAAACGTTGTTACGTTGACACCCCAACAAATAATCGTCAAGTAGGAAGAAAAAGTTGTACGAGCGCTAAAAGAATCTCATCTCGGTACACCTTTGTTTTTACTGTTAATACGTTGTTTCGTCTTTATTCGTCTCGTACTCCGTGGTTGCTCGTTGCGAAGGTTCCGCTCTAGCGCGATAAAGTGAAACTGTCTTTTAAGGTATATACTTGTAGGCATATACCTATATACATATGCATATACATAGAGATATACATATAGTAGGATTATTCATACTTGAGTCGCTCAAGTATCATCTAACGTGATCGATAATTCGATTAGAGTGTGACCTCGGTACTCATAGCTGTCGAGAATCGGTGTGTTTCCGTGTCGAATCTATGGACAAGAGTACATACAACAAAGCACCGGTTTCGTTGGTTGCAGGTTATTTACTTCTCAACAGCGCAGCATCAAGCCAGCGCCGAGGATACAGACGCGACACCAGCAATCTGAATTCAATTTCGGGAGAACGCGGCGCGGCGGGTCATGCGTGAACAAGAGCAACACCACCGTAGCTGCGTATCATCCGTGAGATTAACCGAACTTGGATTAAGCATCGGTGTGTTTCATCGCTCGACCATGATCACCCGTGGACCGATCGATCCACCCACGCGAGATCTGGTGAATTATTTTTACCTTTCTTAACATCCTCTCTTTGATCGATCGGTAACGCATCCTCGATGCACTCGCTGATCGCTCCAACGACAAGAGATCTACAGCGGATCTTGAACGGATTCTACGCGAAAAGAATCGCTTCTTTTCGTCGAGGGTCGATCGCCGTTATAAAGTGGGCCATTATTGTACAGTATAATTTAGCTGGACACGCCTTAGAGCGCGTGCGGTTCTTCGAGAATAAACTTATCGTTAGTGTCCGTTGTCACGATGACGTATTGTCCCTACGAGGATCGAAGGACACGCTGGCAGTAAAACCAGTGGAAACGGGATTCGCGATCATATTCGATCGAGAATATTTGATGGAGTTTTATCGTCCGTTTGGAGAGAAAAGGACAAGCTCGGTTACATTGGGAACGTTGGCTGAAGAAGAAAAATGTAGTCTTACGACCGAACACCGTTTCCACGAAGATTATTCGTAGTTCTGTTACTCTTTGTCTAGACTAACTCTAGACGAAGGATATTATTAAAATATTTTTTTTTTTACATCTGATTTTCCCATGCACTTTTATTTAGACATTGACAAATCACTTATAAACTAACACCGACAGACGTATGTATAATAATTAGGTAAATCAATTTTTTTTTCACATATCCAAACAGAACGTTATCTGACTTTGCGCAAAAATAATTGGCACCAAAAGTAAAGGCAAAGAAATTTTCTGTAAAAGAAAAAGAAACAGTGGTTCCATACAATTTTGTTCGTACGATGAATAATTTACACGTAACGTGTCGTGAAATCGTTCATAAAATCATAGAAACGTCATGTCATACTGCGTGTAAACTATCGGCCACGCGAATATATAACATAAAACGAGTTCTTTCTCTAAATAAAAGTATATACAAACGATCGACTCGATAAAAATATTTTGATAATCAAATTAAAAGTAACCGAACAATGGTTGTTTGACGAATCGTTCGATGCTTCGATCGTATTTCCTCTGTAATTAGGTTCGCGGCGTCTCTGAACAAAATCGAACCTGAAAGGAATAGCGTTAATCGTAAATAAAGGGGAATTGTGACACTCGGAGTGCAGTAGATTTTCCGTTATCTTTTCATGATGTTTCTTTGTAAATGAGAAGGTTGAAGAAAACGTCTATCGTCGTCACCCATGGCTGACAATCAGGAAGACGGTCTACATGTCAACAATGAACGCGGTTCGATACTTCAGGCCACCAATTGCAGTTGTCGGATCCATCGAGGCAGCAAACACTCGCCAGGTAAACTATTACACGCTCCCTGATTGGAGTTCCGATCCGACCTCCGTGCTATCTACATTAGGTCTCTCGGTTTAATCCAGATCTCGCGAGGCACCACTGACTTCTGTGGATGCTCGAATAGTTTGATCGGAAGAATGTTGGATGGACCAAGTATAATTAATCGGTCGTGATGCTGAGAATCTTATCGACTGCTGCCTGTCGCGTCGCGTCGAGAGAGATTGTCGTTTCCCCATTCAAAAAGAAATTCTAAGCCGATATAAATTCGTTACGGGGATAACTGCGCCCTGAACTGACGACAAACATTAGTTAAACCCCAGGTTACTACAAAAAGATAGGACTATTCGAATTATTTTCAAAAATGAAAAGGAGGAAATACGATCGGAAAAATGTTGATCTTAACGGTGACGAGTCATCTCTTCGTATAAAGAGAATACGCCAAAAAGTTTGCGTAATACAAATGGTGTGTACTACATGTCTACATAGGTAAATACATATTTATGTAGGTACTTGAGTACGTATATTCGCAGTTCGCTCGATTTAATTTTATTTCCACTGTGCCGATAGAGAGTGTCGAGTTACTGATTCGATTAGTAACGATCATCTTGCGGTCACGATCAAGGTTTACGATACGATACTCTCCGTCGTTCCTGCGATTGGTTTCCTTTTCTTCGTTCGCGACACAGGGAGAAAGGAACCCGACCGAGACAAGCTCTTCAGCAGAGACGAGCGAAATTCTTATTTAGAGAATAATTTCAATCTCCACGATTTTTATTCGCTTCTTATTATTTTTCGAATCAAATTCTGCCCGTCTCTGCTCACCAAGAGCCAAGAAAATGTGATGTGCGAAAACGTATCAGAGCGAACGAGCGACGACGTTGAAGGGAAAATTTTATCTATACATGTTAACGTGCACGCGACATACATACATACATACATACATACATACATACATGCATACATACATACGTATTATATATGTAGGTCCGATCGATCGCGATAAGATTATATTTTTATATGTAAATATGGCGTTCCTTCTTGTTATCTAATACCGTACATCTAATACATAAAGTATACATACAAGTATATCGGCGAAAAAGATAGATAAAGACGCCGAGAAAACCGAAACGATACGATCCACGATCCATGGGATCCAGCGATGCGATAAAACGATCACGTCTCAAGCGAAAAGCATCTCGAAACGGACGAATTACTTTAACCTATGAATGTTTCATAAGAAACGGGACGCACAGGTAGAGAGAGCACCGATTTCAATGCCAGCCACAGAAGCTGTTTGCAGGAATTGGTATTCGTCTCGACGTCGACGTTTCTAATACCTTATTTAGAGCGAAAATGAGCTCGTTTACCATCGACCCGACTATCTTTCCGAGACTCTTTTTACTCTTAGTACAATATTTCTCATCGGATCGATTATCTTGGTTACATTTTACCTATGCTTTTACAACCATTTTTTCACGTATTTACTCAACGTTATTAAACAATATCTTTTTTCTCTATTTTTTTTTTTCAACTAAATTTCACCAAAAACGTCCATTTTCGCAAATTAGTTTTCTAATTTTACTTTGGGGTGATATTTAATCTGTGCTACGAACGCGATTCGAAATTCTGTTTTTGTTTCGTTTCGATCGTTACATCCGAAACTGCGTTTTATTCGGTTAGGAAGGAAGGAAGGAAGGAAGGAAACAAACGTGGTATCGAGTAATTATTTATCGCTTTATTGTGTCGAATTAATTCGCGATACGGATACATCCTACAGATCATTCGAAACTGTTACCTATTTTTACCGGTGCAAGTTTAATTACAATTATTCGAGCCTAGGAAGGTAGGAAGAGAAATTTTCGATCGATGTATTCGCATTAGAACGTTAATGGAAGATATTATTACGAGGAAAATTCTTAATAAACACATAGCAGCTGAAAGAAGGAATGGTTCGAAAGTCTGGAAACGTTCATCTCGCGATACGAACGGACTCGGTATTTTCAATAACGTGTGGGATCCGCCGAAACCTGAAGCACTGTTTGCAGTTGGATGCAATCGCGCATTCTTCCAACAGTTTCCTGGTTCAATCTTTCGGCAACCGACTGCATTCCTCGGATCCGCTTCACTCGTGGCGAAGTCACTATCGAACCACCAATTTCTCGAGCGGAGCATCGCGATGCTTCTCGTTCTATTGCTTGTTAATTGCCGCGAAACCTATTTGGAAGCCTTTCGCGAAGAAGTTGTCTATAATATACATCGAAACGAAATCGGTGCGCTCTTACCTGCAACGTGTGAGAAAACGAGGGATTCAGAGATAGCGGAAAAATTGAACAACTACGAGTTAGCGATAAGTTGTATAGCTGTTTCTATATAAAACTACGATACGATAAGATATGTAATACATTAAAGGTCCCTCGCACTTATTAACATCACCGCTGTAATCAGAGAGGAAAGGAACAAGAAATACGGGGGAAAACGTTACGACGGACTAGTTCGACGCGTCCTAGCCGATTTAGAGAAGATATAGAGAGCGAGAGAGAGAGCGAGAGAGAGAGCGAGAGAGAGAGAGAGAGAGAGAGAGAGAGAGAGAGAGAGAGAGAGAGAGAGAGAGAGAAATATCACGCAAGAAGACCGAGAAGATGAAAACGAAACAAATTGTAGAAGCTGCCAGACGCGTCGGCTCCGAAGCTGTATATGTAAAGCAATTGTGAGTTATTAAATAAACGAATCGAAAGCACCATTTCAGTCGTAATTCGTTCGTGATGAAATTTCATTTCACGGTTCGCTTGGTGTCGTGACGAGGTACGATTATAGTCTTAACCACAACACATCTCGAAAACTGCACTATTCGTTGCGAAAACAATTTTTTAGTCGTTTATGTTTTGTTCCTCAACGCCGAACAAGCATTTTGTTTTCAGTTTTCTCGATTTACCCGTGATCACCAACGTCATCTCCAACGACTTATCGCGAACGAATTTTTATTTACCTTCCCTATGTACATACTACGAGTATATGAACCTATGTACACATATTTTTCTGCACGATGCTTCCAATTTCGGTTTTTGCAGGATCAAAACCGTTGAACGTCACGTTGGCATTAACTTTTCAAGGTAAGTGTGCCGTCAAATAATTTCACATTTAATTGTGAGACATTCGAAAAGCAATCATTAACAATCGAATGAAATCATAAAGGTGAGTATTTCTCCTCTCTTTGGTACATTCTATTCGGTTGCTACTTTCATGCGAGAATTTTGTTTTTGTCGAAGGGGATGTCAGGGAATTGCTACGCTTATAATAAAATATGTAAAATACAGATTTGAAAAATATAATTCGTTATCAGAAATTAATAGTCACGCAAACGAGCACGAAATGGATTTTGAAATGTATATGCAATATAAGGAAAATTTGAATAAGTTATTCTCTCGTTATATAGAATATTCTTGACCTGTGCTATTGGACACCATCCTCATGGTATCTCTTGGTATTTCCTTCGTTATCATTCGACGTCAAGTAGAGAGGACAGTACTTACATAATCGGAATATATTAATTTTTGCGGAACACAGGACCACGGCTGTGGCGATTAAATTTGGAAACTGGTCGTAACCGAAAACTTTGCTAGTCCAAAGTTTCGAGCCTGCTTGACGCGTTTTACCACCACCGTCAGTTATCTCTCCGCTCTGTCGTTATCCGCCCCAAATTTCCCGCTTGATCCCATCCAGTCACGAGTATCTTCCCACAGCTTTGATAATCGTCAAATGGCATCGCGATTTACGCTTTTACTCGCAAAACTTTCCCAACCAGCGAATTAACCTGTCGTTGATGAAATTGTTGCCTCAAAAATATATTTCTAAATGTTTCCGACTCGTCGGAAGGAGGATCGTCGTCCAAGATCGTATCGATTCCGAAATGCTTAACATTCCTTTTAAATATATCCATTCATCCCATGGAAAATACGATAAGTTTCCATCAGCCTTCGGTATTTTCGAATCGGTCGAAAATTTCGTTGGTTCGCGAAATCCATAGAAAGCGCGTCCTCCTTTTACGGTTGGGAATCCGTTTCGAAAAGGATCCCCATCCAAGTACCAAGTACCAAGTACGTCTATCGAAATTCGTTCCCGTTCAAATAAATTGTGAAATACATGCTCGCAATTTATCCGAGATTCACGGAATTCGGCGGATTGGAAAGACAAAATAGAAATTCACCTGTAGGAATTGAACATTGTACACATGAATTGCGGGGGTACGTACGTCGATCGAAATCTATCGAACAAAACGAAGCCACGATAAAATGGCAGCCACCATGAAATCACTTTTCCTAATCAACAGACAAAAGTCGAACATTGAATTGGAAGAAGACCCCTGGTTGCCTCGAAAAGAAGCAATAAAAGAACTGTCTAGAATTGGACGCTACTTAAACGAACGTTTAATTTAATTCCTTTCTGAGAATCGTAGCGAGTAGGGG